GAACTATTATTTTTATGAGAAATGAATACGCAATATTTGTTTTGCTGATATGTTTAGATTTAACAAGGTTACAATCTCTACTATGTAGCGACTTTTTTTACTTTCACTGTAAACAAATAAGTGTACACTTGATAACAATCTTTGTAGTGTTTAAACGCATTATACTATAAAGAATGTCACATATATTGGATTGTGCGCGACTGTACAGCTGGAGGCAAATACGATCTTATTAGGTGAAAGGTCACATTGGTATCTGTTGAAGAAGAAAGGTTATCTAATGATGTTATGCGGATACATAGAAGACTTAAAATATTTAAAAATATATTAGAAGTGTTAGCCTTCCTGACATACAAATGCCAAGAAGTAAGGAGGTAGGAAAGAATAAAGAAAGACACCTTACACGGTCAAAAAGGTAACAATACAATAAATAAACACAAAATAAAAAAACAAAAACAAACGAAGAATTCTGTTCATTTCGATATTCGAGTTGTTTAAAAAGGAGCTACCTCAAAATAATGATAGTTTATTACAGCCAAGTTAGTAAATAAAGTAAACATGACAACATAGAGGAGATGTGAGAAATGATAACTTTTATTCAATACTAGCTGTCGCCCGCGACTCCGTCCGCGTGGATATATGAAAAACTTAATTAGTGTAGCCCACCCATCCATCCATCCATATTACATCTATCTAAACATTCGCATTTATAATATTAGTAAGTTAAATAAAAAGCATCTCTTCGAGGAATAAATTCGAAAAAAAAAAGAATAAATAGTATTCTATGTCCGTCTTCTGGCTCTAAGCTACCTTCTCACCAATTTTCACCAGTTCTTGAGTTATAAATAGTGTAACTAACACGACTTTATTATTATATTCAAAGACATCTTTGAAAGTACGGTTCGGAATCCTTTTTACCAGATGGAATATGAATCGTCGTATGGACCACTGCCAGGATAGTACATGGAAAACATTGCTATTGTGACAGGTCGTAAATGCTGTCGTCGTGATAGCGAAACTAAAACAAAAAAGGCGAATTTAAGTGCATCTTTTTGAAGTTTTGCCAAGAAAATTGAATGAAACGAGAACTGGAGAAAGGCGGAACTTCTTAACAGAGATATGTTGACAGAATAAATTGACCAGGTTTTTTTCTCTTTATTGTTTAAAATTTATAGTTGGAATATATCTGAAATAGATGTACTTGAAAGCCTAATTTTGTAACCTTTATTCACAATTACATTTATAAACAGTATTTGATGAGAATTGCACAAAACTTACGATTCGTTTGTAGGATGCCTTGATTAATATCTAAAAAATATACGTAAAGCTTAAAAAGAGCAGGTTAAAATGCAACAAAAACGTAACGAGTTGTAATTGACTCGATCTTCTTTCCCCAATAACAAAGAAACTAATATTTGTGTGCTCCGAATTGTAAATTAGTAGGACGTCGATTCGTTCTGCCTAAATTGATCAGTTTTCTTATTTTATAATTTCATTGTGCATCTTCCCTTTTTTATAGGTTGAATGATTAATTTAAGTGGTGTTTTCACGGTTGTTTATCAACCATTAAAAATTTGGAAACTTTTGTGCCATATCAGGTATCCACAACACCTGGACTAGCGTTACCCAACGGTGCGATTTTTGTGGAATTTCCTACCTCGCCCAGCAGAGTTGTGGAACGGTCTATTCTTTATACAACTTTGGGCGGCAACGCACCTGTAGTTTCTTAAAAATCATCCCGGTCGCAGTTCTCGCCGCTCGTTTTCGTTTTTTTATGGTACAAATATAAATGTAAGAAAGCAAATGCTGCACAAAATAGCCGCAAAGTGAAATCACCGATCATAAATCATAGAACGGTAGTAATGATTGTGTTCTGGCGGATGTTGACGTAACATTGGTATTTACGTAACATCTAGCCCATAACCCTCTGGTGTTACTTTCACCCAGCCGTGGGCAATCAACAAGCTCGTAGCCGTCGTAGCAATGAACCGCTTTGAACCGGTGAGAGCGAGAGTGGATGATTTTGTGGCGCACGCGACGTTTATCTATACTTTTTGTCATATCTATGTGAAACTATGTCTTTATATTTTTTCTATTGTTACATAGAAGCAAAAGCTTCCATAGAAATGTGACTTTCTATGAAAATTTTAGAGCATGAAGATCATTTAAACACGAGCTATGTTTTTCTCCTTGATAAAATGTCTTGTGTTTGTTTATAAATGTAACAACTTGGTATTATCCATTGCGATACAACTTTATCAATAAAAAATAATGTTTACAAATGGTATATGCTTTATCTCTAATCAATCGATAGATAAAGCATTGTAACCAACCAAAATATTTTAATCGATTTTATATACAGGGTGTCCCAAAAGGTTATGTACATAGGAAGGGGGATGATAGGGGTGGTCACAAGGGTGACCAGAAAAATAAAATAAAAATTCCCCTCTGGGTATTAAAAAAATAAATGGCATTTTTTAAAAACTTAAAAATTTTACACCTGGGGCATTAATTTTCTTTAAAATCTTTGTTAGTTGTATTGTTTTTTTTATTTCATATTGATAAAGATTTATTGACGATAACATAATAGTTTTTTTTTAAATATAGCAATATTTGTAGGTAACCGATGGTTACAAAATTGACCCGGAAGGTATAAAATCATCCCCCTTCCTATGTACATAACCTTTTGGGACACCCTGTATATATTTTGATGAGACTGCTGTTATATCAGTAATATAAATTAGATTCTTGATAGTATTGGTTTCAGTCATAAATGTACTTACAGTAAAAATAATTCAAGACCATTTTACCGTTGCGCTCACATGTTCTAAGTTGAAATAAATAAATTAAACAATATACCGTTAGTACAATACGCAGTTGTCTTGTTTGTGCCAAATTATAGTCGATCGATTACGAGAATGTCCCACATTTGACTTGTTAATGTGAACCGAACTGACCCGGTGACATTCTAATAATTAATGTTTCTTCCGGTTCTTCTTGAAGTTACGATTAACTGACTAGCTGATTAAGTGGATGTTCGTAATTATGTTATGATTTTAATTTTGTAGCTCAAATGTTTAATTTAATTATTATAGTGTATAAATAAGTTATGTTTGAGTAGAGTTTAAATATCCATTGTTTTACGTTATTTTCATAAAAATATTAATGTATTATAAAAGTTTTGAAAAAAAAAGATTCGAATTCTTCTTTTTTTATAATTAACTAAGTATATCTCTGTGGTCGTCAAATCAATATTTTCTTAAAATTTGGTTTGTTATATAAAGTTTTACTGGAGTGAAAATCGACAGTTATAAAATAAATTTATCATTTTATTACTATGGAAAGTTAAAACATTAAATTCAATCTAAATACGATTGTGACACAATTTCCCTTAAACCATAAAATCGAGTTACGCAACACAAATTAAACGAGTCGGTCAGCGAAATGGCAACAGCGAGTTAAGTGTTCGCGTATTATTTATTCACGGCCCGATGTCGAATCCGAAACGGACTTTCGATAAGAATATTTTCTCGCGATGAAAGTTCCATCGGTTAACACATGCGCAATTATGAATATGCTAAATGAACACGAATACATGGAACACGTTATATGTATATACATAGTGTGAGTTGAACGTTCGAGAGAGGCTCGTGAGTCAGGCTTCACTTTCACCCGCGCCTGTGGGCGGAAGCCTCCGCCATATGGGGGTAGTCGATAATCAAGATCAAGATAAATGTCGTAAACACTTTCATTTATTAATAACTTGAAACTAACGTGCATTGAAATGCAAGTTTAAATCTTACTGAATTGTTACTTACTGATTGATGAATGTTTGTTAGAAGTTACCTCCAAAATGGCTGCATGAATGTCGCTGAAATATGGCATAGATATAGAACATAGTTTGGAAGAACACATAGGCTACTAATTAAGTTTTTTTTTAAATTTCACGCTGACGGAGTCGCGGGTGACAGCTAGTAATGTCATAAGTCTGAACAATCATAGCAATGTCTTACCAATGTGAGCAAACATGAAAACTAAAATTAGTATCTTTTAGATTTCTAAAGCCACAAATTTTCTTCCATCTTTAGAAAGTCTCGTATAGCAAATTAAGTGAACTAATAATTATTTGTCTTATTATTTTATTCCATACATTTTTATTTGTTGTTATTTACACGTATCTCAAATTTATGTAGTGTACGAATTTGTTTGCTTATTTACGAATGCATCAGCGTAGGAAGTTTGGCAATAGCTCGAATAATTAATTGTTCAACAACAATGCATCTTGCACCATCTAGAAGTTTAATATTTATCAAATATTATCATTGCGTACAAAATTATTTTATTCTACATCTTCTTCTTGAGGTGCCTCTCCGACTAACGAAGTTTGGCGATCAGTTCTCCATATTCTACATAGTTTATGTGTTTTGCTTGTTAGTTGTAACGCAATAAAAGTTCGTAATCTTGTATTTGGAGATATTATTTTCGTCGATACATTTGTGATCTTATAAGCTATAAACTAAATGCTCAAGCCAGTTGTTTCGTTATTGGTTTGCAGATCAATAAATGCACATGTTTTACAACATCACGCTTAGAAATACCATTAAAGCTCACGGAAGCGTCGTTTTTGAAGTTATTAAGTTTCCGTGCACGTTATTATATAAATTCTTAACGGACTATTAATGACAATATTCTTTATGTTTCCAGGTAAGTTTCTTAAATTTAACCGACGAGATTACGACGCCTCGGTGGTAAGTAAGCTTCACAGATAGTTTATTGTAATTTTTTTTTCTAATTCTAATATTGAAAAGTGAATATAGTTTTCGAATTCTTACGTAGTCGTTACATGTGTTGTTATCGCAAATTCAACGAATGAAAAAGAGCGCGTTATCGGCTTGAAACGTGTAAAACAAGGCGGCGGCGTTTTGTTTTTAGAGCGGCGGAAAGGTAAACAACGGTTTAATTGTTAAGCGATTAGGGCGGTGAAGCTTTGCGGTGCAACGACGCTCGCGACAGCGACAGTCGCCCGAGCGAGCGGCGGCGAGCGGCGACGCTCCCACCCGCCGATTGCGGCCGCGGTCCGCGCTCATTCACTTCAGTCCTCCGTTGTCTGCCGCGGCGAGCGCACGTGTACACCGCGCGCCTCCGATGTTAGTACACGATTACGAAATATATACGCGACTCGGACTTTTACTGTGACAGTGAAGCGACTGCCTTCGAATATGGGTTAAACGGCTCGCGCTACACCATGAGTCCGGGCGAGCGCGCCGCCCTCGGGCGCCGCGAACCCGCTCGCCCTCAGTACGGGGCCACGGCACCGGGTTTCCCGCCACAGTACTACCCGCCCTACGGAGTGCCCCATCCGAACGCGTGGCTGGGCGCACCCCTCATATCCATGGCGGGGCGCACGCCGCCGGCGCGCAACACACCTGTGTCCAAGCTGGCGATGCACGCACAGGGCGCCCCACTCATCATACAAAACAGACACGATCGCAGGAAATATACCACAGTACCGGAGCAGCGGAATCACCGCCCTTCTGGGCATACGGAGCAAATAACTAGGGACAGATGCGAATCACTGGATAACAGGCAACGCAACCAGCAGCAACAGACGCGATCCGCCCGCAACGGACGCAATAACAATACGGATGCAGTCAGTGTCGCCAGCGACGAAAGTTCCGGCTCTACCAACTCTGAAACCATGTTGCCTAGGATTATAAAACCTCGGAAACGTCGCAAAAAAGATAGAAAACCTAATAACATTGTGCCGCACGATATGACGGCGGCCCCGTTAGACATTGGTGATGTTGGACACTGTGCAGTGAGCAGCATGTCGCCGGGCTCGCATGGCTTGTACGAAGAATCGTACTGTCGCGATATTTCAATGCAATATCGTTTAGATGTCAAGGTGTTGGAGTACTCCGAACCAGCGCCCGAGACGTATCGCGTCTCAGCTTTAGGAGAAGCCTTAGAAGCTACCCGTTTCGGTCTTATAGAGGCAGCTTCGCCTTCCGAATCTGCAGTAAGCTCATGTCAGTGTCGCTATTGTGATCCCGTAGGTCAGATCTGGGATGCCGACTCGATCGCGGATTTGTTGGATGAAAATTCGAGTGGTGATTTTGCGCCCACGAAATTGGAAGATTCGATGAAAGTCGTTGGACCTCTCGGGAGACGCGGCGCAGATACTATTCTACGTCGCAGTTGGAGCGACCCCTCTTCCCGTGCTCCAGAAAGGCGAGACACATCCACTGGAGATCTTCTTACTTCGTCTAATCTGTACTCTTTATTCCCACCTTCGAGACGAGCGAGCTCCCCCGAGTCACGGTCTCCGCTGGCATTGGAGATCTCCTCAGAGATCGTAACGTCATTAAATGGCCAGCGCGATTTGGAAATAAAATTGTTTTCGACCTCGCCCCCGGCCACGAACTCCGACCGGCGCTCCTTCTTCGATGATAAAAGTGAAAGTGATGTGAACAGTTGTAAGATTGCGGGCTACGAATTTAAATTTAGCAGTGCAGTGGACAGTGAGAGATCCGTGTCCAGTGCTCGCGCCAGCGAGGGGAAGAACGACACGGAGGCCGTCGGGTCCCCGCGTAATATTTGTGATTTAGCCATAGTTACTGCCTGAGGCGCTTGTGATCGATTATGTAAAGTGTTAGCGCCGACACTCGGTCGACGCTCGCTATTTGAGCTGGACTCAAATTGTCACAGCGAGGCATGCACGGAGCGTCTCACGCGACACAAACTGAGATCTCCGTATCGGTTTCCTGTAGATTCTATAATTAATTTATTTTTAACAATAGCTTATGGAACTGGCTTTGGGGCTTTATCTGGAGTTGTTTTAGGAATGTAACGATTCGCCGTTAGGATGTTATTACGCCTACTGTTTAACGCGAGTTTACTGTATCGTATATGTTTTTTTTAATTGGATGATACGTGAACAAGTGTACATAGTGCGCGGCTAGGTTTCCGCGAATTGTAGCGGTCGGCGCAGTGGCCTAACTGGCAGTTTGCAATTAGCGTTTCACACTAGTGACACGGTTGCGCAGCTCCGTGGCGCTCGGCGCTGCGGCGCGGCGCTTTCCTCGTCGCGCCTCGTTCCGGCTGCCGCTTCTTGCACCGGTTCTCACCACCGATCACTTTTATTTTGTTCCGAGTAATTGTTGGCTCACTTTTCACCCATAAGGCCGGCGAGGGCGACGTAGACGGTCGAACGACGACCGGACTTCGATCGCGCATCGCGGGCCACTGGACCAGTAGACCGGGTTGCGAGTCACGCGTCCGCAATACATAATGTCTTTTAAGCTACGTCAGTCAACTCATCAGGCATGTGTATTTAATTAATTATCACAAAAGTATCGCGGGATTTGATGTATTAAAATATCATTTTTTTAAATAATAGAAATCTAAAGTGTTTACGTCGGATACATAATAACACTTATTCAATGTCATTTGTATAAATAAGCGTGTCTTATCATATTGTTATCAGTATGTTACGTGTAATTTATAATTTATCCATAATTCATCTAACTGCGTTAGTGCATTCAACTGTAAAGAAATAAATATACATCATTAAACACATAAATAAAGACCAAATGGAATTGTTTAAGCAATGCGGAAATGTAGAAGTCAAAAGGTCGAGCGTGTCAAATGGTAATTAGACCTACTTAATGTAATAGATTTCGAGGTCGGTTTATTTTAAAAGAACTATATCTGTCCCACTTTGCGTATCTTAAATAATGTCAAATGGCATTAGATAGAGTACTTATGAAAATTAATTGAGTGTAATAAATGTTCATAAATATGTTTGCGTCAGACACATTACGCGTTTACCGCCTCAAATGATCGCAATTCCCTGTCGCAAGTCACGCGTCCTAGGAAAACAATGAACGTCGTAATTATAGCCAGAGTATAAAGGCGCTATTAGCCCGATAATAGCTTAGAATCGTTTCATAGAAGGTGCAATACTGATAAAAAGCCGCGATAAGTTTTCCCTCCATTAGGTTTATCTTTGTTTCTGTTAGGCCTCAGGCCGTTAACCTCACTGTGGAAAGCTCCGAAATTCGCACTATATGCACAAATATTAGTTTAAATAATGTACGACCACGGTTCAGCGTCTTGTTTGTTGAATACATTTTGTACGTATTTTAAAATGTAAAAGGCAAATGTTGCGGTGTTTTTTTATGCAAAATACGATGATAAAATGTAATAGAAAATGTGTTTCATAACACTTTCACTGCTTCGTGTTGTGGACAGTGGTTGTGTTGACACAAAGCGTATTCAGTACACGTATATTACGAATGCTATGGTGTAAGGTATTGTAACTTTAGTAACATGCGGCGAATCGACAATTTCCATTTTCGTTGTGCTTTCCTGTTCTATTCTTTCTTCAAGCGAGGGTCCAACTATGTGAGGGATGCCAGATAAAGCCCCATTATGTAGATAATGTGAATATTACTAAGTTATTCATGGATTTGTACATCCGTATACCGTTGCTATCGTTGAGTTTTACGCTCCATGGGCGGTTTAGTTCTACCTTTTTCGTTTTTTTCCTTGTGGTGTGCTTATATTGCTTGGCGCGTGCGTGGGACGTCATGATAAATTGGTGTTGTTTTATTTTTTCTTAACGCTAGGGCTCGAAGTAGACGAGTTATTACAGTCTATCTGCTAAAGTTAAACTAAATCGTATTAGTGGTACCGCGTCGCTCGCCTATCAAATATTTTCCTATCATTCTACAAATAACCGGTCAAATAGCTGTGTGACGGCTGTACCGAGCGACGCCTAATTTATTATTTTATCTAAATGTACATGGAAAGCTTTTTTATAGCTGAGATAAGCTACGGACTCAATGTCGTCCGCTTCGGTGACTTGGAATTGGGTAATTTTGAATATTTAGCCGTTGAGAGATGTAAATTGAATTTTAAATCTATAGATCTCGTCAATTTCGAGTCCCTAGCTGTTTGGGGGACTGTGTAAGGGGCGTGGCGCCGTACGCAGTTGTAAGGCTCAACGATACACCAACATACTATTGTAAACAAAATAGGCTATGTCTAACCTACAGAGTGAATGCATTTTATATATATATAAAAAATTAAATAGGTTTAATAATTTGTTTGTGTACGTCGTGAGGCACGAGTTACACGCTTGCACACTATTTTTGTATAATAAATACCATCATGTCCCGATAATTTTGTTTTATTTTAATCTGTTTCTGGCCAAATAAATTTAAACATTAAAAAAAAGTATCTTTTTAACTGCTGCGATTCAGATGATAACATTTGATTGTTTAAATGTCAATCCTATTGCCACGGAAATATTTTATAGATACATATTAAAATTTCATATTGAGTTTAATAGTCTTTCAATGTTGTTTGCATTTTTAGAACTACTTTTACCCAGTAATTATTGAAGAAAATAATCAGCATAGGATTATTAATAATTTTGATTCTGTACCCGTTATTTATAATTTCAGTCTTCTAGTGTTTTCAAAAATGTTTTGAAGTTACGAAAGTATACTTTGTGATGTCATACGTTAGTTGTGAACAAGGATATCCATTGTCGTTGAACAGCTGTTTGTTGCGCGTGCGCATTGTGTGATGTTTATTTACAAAAGAACGTGTGCCCGATTGTGGACGGTACGTCGGATTCGAACTTGAAGACAAACTGTTTACATTTTTGTGTTACCACTACTGCTACTTTAAATTCAAATTTGAAATCGATTTTACATTGTTTATAAATTGTGAGATTTATGAGGCTATTAATCGTATCGAGATATCGAATGAGGTCACGTGACCAGTGACCTTCAAACCGTATGTGTCAACTGCCAAAAAACTATATAAAACATATTGTTGTTTCTGTTTCTTCAAAGAGAGTAAATGAGATGGCAATATGTTTATGTTCATCTTTTATGTCAGTGAAAACTCTTGGTAACTTAACGATGAAATCGAACTTTTGTTTTTTGTATCTCGTTTCTTAGCGATTCGGTAATTAAATTATAGAATTTGAATACGATCTGTCTTTAAGAATATGAATCGATTTTTTTTATATCATACTTTATGGTTTCTTGGAAATATCTGATTGCTAAAATCTTTAGGAATTTTCTTGTACACTTTATTTCAATTTGATATTTGAATAGTACGTTTGTCTATTAGAAATAAAACTGTTATTATTAGGGGTGTGTACTAACTCACTAGATTTATAAATGGCATAGTGAAACGCAGGATCTTAGTGTTTTATTTGCTGAATATTTTACTTATTCTTTATTCCTTATACCACCTCAACAATGAGTATTAACAATTTATAATGGATGTACATAATGCTATTACGTATTCTGTAATAGTCAATCTGTCGCGTGAATAGATTGCATGAATGGATATTTTATATGCACTTCATACCACGATTCGATAAATTGATAACTAACAGAGTTCCCTTCTCATGCATTCCTATTAATAAGTAAATAGACGGGGTTTAACTTGAAATTTCTTTCATTCAACGTTATTCTAGCATACGTGTTTAGCAATTATATTAAAATTTTACTTGTCAATATGTAACAAAGCATCAAGGTCTTGTATAAACGAAACATATTTTATGCGTAAAATTTTGTCTAATTAATACTCAGAGTCAGTTAATAGCAACTAAGAGAGCCTGAAGAAGTACCGGTAAAGTAAAATATGATATTATTAGATGATTGCTTGTCAATTAACTTACGAATCGATGATAAATATATACGTCACTTTCTGTTTACTATGATGATAAAAGATAACTAAGTGTATATGACTAAACTAGCGGTCGCCTGCGACTTCGTCAGTGCGAAATTAAAAGAAATAGTAGCCTATAATATGCTCAGCTACTTATCCGTCCAAGTTCCCTCAAAATCGGTCCACCCGTTCCGGAGATTACGTACAGACAAACAGACGAATATTTTTAGTTACAAGCTACGCAAAACATTATGTTTACGATATACGTTTTTCTTTGATATTACATACAGACAGTGCAATTTTATTAGTATAGAGTGTATTAGATGACATTGTAAACAGTAATGTTGAGAGCGTGTAAGTTGTAAAGTATCTGTTAGTGAACGACGTCAGAGGCGTTTGAAGTCGAAGTGCAAAAGGATAAATAATATTTTACGACACCATGAGGCGAGAAACAAAGCGTCGCTGCGCACGTGGCGGCTGACCTTGCGCCACAATGTAAATAGTAATAACACCGCAGCTACTGTACATCTGTGGTATTACGAGTATTTTCCTTTTTGATATACATTGTAATGTCTTTATTCTTATAAAGGTTTGAATAGGATTTGCTGTACGAGATATTGACACAAATGTTATTTTTAGAGAAAAATATGTTTTATAAGGGTAATTTGATAGTTTGAAAGTGACGGTTTTAAATTAATTTGTGCGTTTTTACCTTTTTAGATGTGTACAAGTTTTCTTAGAGATCGTTTTTAGAAGCACTTATGACAATCTTTAATTACGTGGTACTAGCACGAAAATCTGCGTCAAATGTTAATAGCGTCATCGACTAAATTTTTAAAACACCTTACAAATTGTAGTGTTAGCTCCATTTGTTAAAATTGAATAATAACGAGTCCGTATCCTAAATCCATTTGTCAATATTGCAAATTTTAATTATAATATAACGGTTTAATGAATGAACTTGAAAATTCCATTAATAGGCAACTCATTAAAATCAATGATGAAATTCGCATAAATATCATAAATGCTTATGTTACTTAATATAGCCGTTTTATAGAAGAATATGCAATAAGTGGTCTATGAAAAGCTTTAGCATTTCGATTCACATTATAACCGTAAATTTGTCCGGTGACCTTACGTGTCAAGGCCGTTTCTGCTAATATAGGCTATTTTTATTTGAAGGTAAAAAATTCTTATGAATATGTTTCATCATCAGCTCACTATACGTCCCCACCGAGGGGCTCGGAGCCTACCCTAAATCAAGGGTGACTAGGCCATAGTCAACCACGCTGGCCCAGTGCGGGTTGGTTGAGTTCATACATATCTTTGATTTTCTTCTCAGATATGTGCAGGTTGCATCACAATGTTTTCCTTTACCGTAAAAACGTCGGATATATGTGCATATGTAAATCAGAAACACAAAAATACATTGGTACATGGCGGGATTCGAAACCAGGGCCCGCAAATTGCAACTCCAGTGCTTGACTCCTGAGCCACCGTCGCTCTATGACTATATTTGCCTGTATGTTATTACGGATTGTTTATTATTTTACAATTGGAAATGTACAGTCTGACATCCGTGAAGTAGCGTATTACCGTACGACCAAACAAAATAGGAACATTTAATCTCTTACCTCTAACTTTAAGTAACGGACGTTTGTGAGTACTTATCGTGATATGTATATGTGATATGAGGCGCGGCTTGTACTATCTAAAAGTGTCTAATGCAGCTGGGGTTAGTTTCTTGTCGACGGGAGGTGGGGTAGAAAGCCGGCTTCCGTCCGTAGGTTTCACCCGGCTTTCACTCCGAGACCACTCACATCCCGCTCCGCCGAGATCGACGTCTCGACGAAATGCCTCGACCGCACATTAATATTAGACGCGCCGACAAATCGCTTGCAAAGACATCTCATACGAAAACACCTAACTACCCATTCAGTTTAAAAATATCTTAACTGGCGATAAGCTGCTATTGCTATTAGTAATTAATAGATAATAATTCATATGCTTTCAATACTCAAAACCAAATGTAACTAAAATAAAAAAATCTTTGTCTTGTCCAAAATGTCGAAAGCAGGGTTTAAATGAGTGAAGTTGACTTAAACTCAGACCGACCGTTAGAGGATACGGTCGTGAGAACATTTCATATTTTATATCCTCAAGGCGTGGGAGTAATAGCTTGAATCTCGAAGGTGACTTGTATTACGTCGACGAATTTTGCAGACAACTGCAGTGTTTTTGACCTTCGTCGACGTCTCGTATTTTTCGTCAAAACAATAACCCCCCGATGCACATTTGTCACAGCTGAGAGCCATATTTTCGTTGTGCAGTGAGGACAAACTGCGGTCACAGCAATATTCTAATTTAAAACGTCTTACCCGCTGAGCACGGCTTGGGTCGACGCTCGATACATGATCGTGCAAATTAATATGACGAAGGGTTAAAAAGAGTATACTCGTCCTTTTCGTGCGATTTGTATCGGCGTTTATTCGCACGTCATGCCAATATTAATGATTATTGTTGGAATTTATTTTTCGTAATTTAAATTACGAATTTAGACCCTAATGTATCGTTACAAGGACGTTATTTAATTGAATATATCTATTTTAATCGGATTGCATTCAGCGGGCGAGTGAGATATTTTTATTTCGATGAAGATGTTGGAGCGCGGTGCAGTTGCATTGTTCGTAGGTGACTGGAACTTTGTGGTGGATTATTAACAGTTTTGCTATGTCATCTAATGAAGTATTCAACGCTGAATGCAAGGACTAGCCAGGTCCGATTCAACCCGCCTATGTTGAACAAGTCAGCAAATCTTTTGTGGCCACACTATAAAATATTATAATCATTTTATAATCCACGATTCAATAGAAAGTTTAATATCTTTTTTTTATATTTTTATTTTATAATAATTTATTTTGTGTCCAGCCAGTCCTTTTTTAATTTCCATAATTGTGTTAGCGTAAACAAAAAAAGACATTGTATGTTTCGGAAATGAGCCAACAGAAACGACATTTATCATTTCATGAAATGAACGATAAAAACTGGTGCATCTTAAAGTTTTTTTTTCACAATTCTGTATAGACTGTAAAAAACGTAATAATTTTAACTCATCATACTTGTCTAAATAAAAAAAATATTTTATTGACACCGTTAATCTATGATTCCCATAATATATATAATTCAAATAAATTCCTAACAATAACTATTGTATTATAGGATGTAAACATATTTCGAATTGAGTAATTTCATACAGTTAAGAAGTTTTTTTAACAGCTTTTATATCGATCGTTAAATAAAATTTTACAAACTATGGGCGTTTAATTTATTTAAATGGACATTCTAATGTAAATATTGGATATAGGCGCTTTCTCGTGCAGAGATGAG